CGAGGACCGATGATGGGAAGAGGACTGGAAGCACCTCGGGCTCTGCACAGAAGAATAACATCGGGGGAGTACAGGCGAGGCAGGGCAGAGTTTTCGCATTGGTGCCAGGAGACGCCCAGAATGCTGAAACAGTGGTGTCAGGTACCGTTTCAATTTGTTCTCGAGATGCATACGTATTGATTGATTCGGGTTCTACGCATTCATTTGTGTCTGCTATATTCGCCGAGAAGTTGAATAGGAAATTAGAACTCCTCGATTATGTATTATCTGTGTCTACTCCATCTGGGAGGAATATGATTGTTACATCCATTTATAGGGCGTTGTATTGTTTCGAAAGAAATCTTGGATATCAATCATGCAAAACCTTTATTTCTAATATCATTCACTGAGTATCCAAGCTCACCCTCTCTATATATATGTAGGTGATGAACAAGAAGGCATTGAGGCCTAGACGTGATGCCGATGTGTTTTTGGGTGCATTGCCGACATGTTTTGGATTAGCATTTTTGTACCATCTTGAAGATCATGCTTCTCGGCTTATTTTTCATTTGTACTTGTATATGTCGGCTTGAGAAGCCTTTTGGTCAAGATGTGTTTTGTATCTCATTTCCTTATTGTATTTAAGTTGTAAGACTTTATAAAGATGTATGTCATTTCATTGGACTTATGCACGGCTCTCATGGACTATTTAGATTCTGTATCTGTATATATATATTGCTTCCGCACTTGTAAGCCCCATATTTTATACTCTGATTGTGTGTGATTCTTGTAAGTTGGCCTTCGGTAATTACGGATTACTGGCCATCACGGCACCAAACTACTAGGGGCGGTTTGGGGGCGTGACAAAATTTGTACTAACTCTGTGTGTACAGCAAACCAGAGTATGTGCTTTACACTTTCCCAAACTTAACCTCTAAAAAGGAATATGCAAGATGAACTGAAAAGGTGGAAGGAAATGGAAGATCTGGAAAAAAATTTATCTCTCTTGAAAAAAAAAATGGATGGAGGACTGCCTTAATATAGGCAATGGAAATGTTGTTTCGAAAAAGACATGTCTATTGCAATTTGGAAATATGTCCTTTGCAATTTGAATACGAAATTCAAACTTTCCAGCAAACAAACTAATATCAATTCAAATAATTTGGGCCCAAGAAAATAAGTAATGGGCCTAACCCAACCCAACTTATCTAGGACCTTATATATCTTCTCCAAATTGTTCATAATTTTCCTGTGTGGAACAAAAATACGCAACACCATTTTAAGAATTTTCACAAGCATGTCTAATGTTCATAAACCTCACTTAGGAGTCAATTTTCCATTCACCTATAAATGGTTTTGACTCACTAATTATATAATCTTGTTCACCATATAGTAACGAATACATTTCTACTCGGACCCTCAAAAAATGACTTGTGGGTCCTATATAATAATTAGCATAAAGTTTCCGAAACATCAGAATTTAAACCATTTTTCCAACAATCCCCCACATGAATGAAATTGACGAAAAGGAAATGCAACAACATGCAACCTAAGAAAGTACAAAACTGAAAACATCCTGCATAGGATAGGTAGCTTGTGGCCTTGAACCTTCCCTTGTGAGAAACTATCAGGTTTACTGGCTGATTAGTGAACATGATGTCTTGAACTGTTCTGAAGTTAGTGTAAACCGAGACAACAGCTTTCACACAGTTTTGTTTTCATACACAACTTGGTTCTTTCGGTTGTGCCCGTTTTGGCCCTGGGCAATACCTAGTTTTCATGAGTGCTCTAGAGAATATAGCCTTAGCATTCTCATAGAATCGGTCCAATTCACACTCATATAGGTGGTGCTCATTAAGAGTATTCTGTTATACCCTACTTGGTTTTTCAAGATATGAACTTCATTAAAAGTAAAACTTATCCTAATTCTCGCTGCAAACATCACTTGTTCTTATAGAAATGGGTAAGAGATTTTCTCTTTAGTGATGGCCAAGAATCATACTTAATTCGGTTGTCCCTTTGAACCTATATCTTGGGATCTCCAGTCAGCTAGGTTGGGTTGCCATTAAGTCGGTTCTTAAGGTCAAGAGATAACATTGCGGATCCGTTAACAAAAGGTTTGACTAGAGAGCAAGTTATGAGATCATCGAGGGGAATGGGATTAAAGCCTACATTCCGACAATCTTTGGCTCGATATCCTATCTTGTTGCACACAAAGCACTTTCCCTTGAACTTTATAGATCCAATCTTAAAACTCTAACCAGCAGTTTGTTTAGAGTTTTGCTTAGGACGCTGTCTCTTTTTCTCTTGTTGTCCGTGCTCCAATATGTTAGCCTTGGCTTTGAAAACAAATCTCGGATTTCTTTTCTTTTCTTTTCTTTTCTGCCTCGCGGTTATCTTCCTCAATCTGTAACCGAACAATCAAGTCCTCTAACTTCATTTCCTTACGTTTGTGCTTCAGATAGTTCTTAAACTCTTTCCAAGACGGTGGTAGTTTCTCAATGATTGCTATTACTTGGAAAATCTCACTCAAACTCATTCCTTCTGCATGAATTTCATGCAAAACCAACTGAAGCTCTTGCACTTGACTAATTACGGTCTTTGAGTCCACCATCATATACTCAAGAAAACGGCCAACCACATATTTCTTGATTCCCGCATCTTCCGTTTTGTACTTCTTGTCCAAGGATTCCCACAATTCTCTAGCTGTTTGTAATGGACTATACACGTTATACAATGTGTTGTCCAATCCATTCAAAATATAG